GACATGTTTGAACTATGGTAGATAGTTATTCCCTTAAGTAGGTAGACTTTTGAGTTTAGGTACATGACTTTATGTTTTGATTTACCTTATTCCATGAGATATCTGTTGGTTCTGGTTAGAATCAATTTGTGATCATGTATAACCCCATTTATAAGCCATTTTGAATGTCTTTGATTGTTGAGCAATAAGAGATTGGTAGGTTTGGAATAACATTATGTTTTTATACATTGAGAGAGATTTTGAAGTCTTTTTCCACTCTTTATGCAAAGTCTTGATTTTCTGATTGAACTCATGTTGGAATTATTTAAGAACCTCATATGTATGCCATTGGTTTTGTTGAATCATATTAAAATGTTGAATTGGTTTACAAGCTGTCATGAGATCTTCATTGTAACTAGATGCCATGACTTCACTTTCATAGGTCATTTTCTTTTATGATTTGAATTTTAGTCTCATGTGATTATGAACTTCATGTATGATTCATTTAGAGTGTGTGTGAGCCTTGAAACTGTTTATAACATGACTAAATTGATCTCTAGTTTTGAAAATGCATCTTGACACCAAATATGCATTTGCATTCGAATTTTAAAATGTAAGCATATTCATAGAAAACTAAGAGTTCCATTGAATTCCTCTTTCAATTTCAAGCATTTTAGACCTAAATTTTGTCAAAATCCATGGAGTTTTGAATAAGTTTGAGATGTTCACGTTTTTTTGGTTTTGCTTGGCTTGGCTGGTCATGTTGCCCAGAAATCCCCTGTGTAAAGGGTTACATATTTCTGGGGTGGTTTGATACATTGGATGTATCACCACCCTAGTGGTTATGACTTGCGCGGCTTATGTATTCTTTGTCTTACTTGCATGAGTTCGATCTTGGCTGAGGACAACTCTTTTGCATTTTTGTGATTTTTCTCATGTTTTTAGCATATATTGTTCCTTTCTCCTTGGAATATCCCACGTGTGCCTTGGCTGATTTGGTAAGGTTTTGAGCATGTGGACTAGAGGGTGTGTCTTCAACCCTTGTGGAGGACACTTCCTTTATTTTTATCACTTTTCTCTTCATTTTTCTTCATAACTTACTCATTTTTCAACATTTTGCCCCATTCTTTTTGCAAATTGTTCTTCATCATGTCTATTTTCAAATAGTAAGTGAAGAATTCAAGGATTCGTATCCTATAAATACTTTAACTCACTTGGAAATCATGTTTTCTTTAGGGTTTTCACCTTACTTCTTTTGAAGCTTTTCTCATCTACCATTTGATTTATCTTGTAAGATTGATTGTGTTTGATCCACATATATTTGTTAACATGCTTGAATGATTAAAGTTTGCTTGATTCAAAGTCTTCTCATGATCAATCTTTGTTTTTGTGAATGCATCTAATTGAAAACAACACTTTGAACTTTCTTTGTAAACCACACTATATCTCTTGATGTTGTAACTTCTTGTGTGTGTTCTTTATGTCTTCTCTATCTGCTTAGGTGTCTTGTTAGAACCATAACATGCTAGGGCTTGATTTGTTTTGGCTGTTACCATAAACTTGTATGTGTTTCCCCATGAAATCTTAAATTTCTTACTTGATTTGTTGTAACACTTCTTGTATGCTTATGTACTTGATTGTCATCAATGCATCATTATTGGTCTTATGTTGTTACATTTGACATTTTTTGATCCCTATAACATGCTTTCCTCAAGTTGTGACTTGCTTGCATTTAAACTTGTTTGAATTACATGTTCTGTTTTTTTGTCTTAATGGTTGTTACCTCATTGCTCTTCATCTTTGTTAAGATGTTTTAAAATTAATAACCTATGCTTGGTCTTGTAAGAACCTCTATCATGTTCCTCTTTTAGATATTATGATATCTTTGTTCATTAATAGTGGTAACCATTTGATTTGATTTAAACTTTGTTTTTTGCTTGATTTTGTCACATGCTTGCATATCTTCCTTGGTTGTTACCATACTCTTTTATATGTTCATCATGTTTGAATGAATTCTTATGTATGATTTTTAACTTTGTTAAGTTATTCCCCAAGTGATGGAACTTGTTAATTCTCATCCAGTTGCCTCATCTTTTCCCATTCCAATGGAAAGCCTCTCTATTGACCCTTAGGTCATAGATAGCTCATTACCCTCCCTCTGACTTTGTTAAGTCACCTTGAACCCTAACTTAGTAAAGTTAGAACCTATATCCACTAGACTTTGCTTTAAGTCTAAAATACCTACCCCTTGTTATGAGTATCCTTCAACTAGAAATTTAAGATAGAGTTTGTTAACTTTATGTAAGAATCATGGTGATGATTGCTTACTTTCCCCCTTGTTTTTTGCCAAAACCAATCCATTTGAGTGTACAACTTAGAACAGAGAGTTTTGTTAAACTCTGTACAAGCATTGTTATGTTAGTTCCTCTTTGAACCTTGATCATGATCAAGGGTTCATGTATCCCTAGTGAGGTGAACTATAGTTGCTCTGATTCTATCTTAGTTAGGATACATAGGCAGAGGATGTGATATCTTTGTGAGAAAATTTAGAAATTATCCTTAGGTCTTTACCCAACCTTATACCCTATCCCAAGCCATAGAAAACATTTAGAAACTTAGCATACAAAGATACAAAAGGTTCTTGTAGAGTACTACAAATGTTTAGGATGTGAGATAACTACCCTATGCATAACCAACCCCTGATCCCCGATCTCTCAGCGTTGTTGTTACATCGCGCAAAAGGTCTTTCTTTCTTTAACCTTTCCTTTGGATAAATCAAAGTGCAGTTGTGAATTTAATGAATTAAGATTCAAGTTAATCAATAGCTTAACATCACAATTCTTACTGCAACAACGTGATTTAGTGAAGTGAAAATCACGTGGCAAAATATAGACAGCTGTGAAGTGATTGTCACGTCACTAACATGTTTAATATTAAAATAATAAGAAATAAATGTAGCACATGGTCTGTCAGATTTAAAAATTAAAAAAACATTATTTCACGTGAAAATCATGTCGCAACATGTAAATTAAAAAAAATAGTAATTAAAACGACAGATCTACTGAAGCGGGAAGGGGGAAATTTTCAAATTTTGTGTTGTGACGTGAATATCATGTCACAACCATTTAGGAGGAAAAAATATCTGACATAGAGGTGATGGTTGACTGGGCTGCAGGTTGACTGACAAAATCAATATGACCGTTGGAACTTTTGCGACGTGAATATCACGTGGAAAAGTTGTGAAGTGATAATTACGTCGCTACGTGATTAATGTGAATATTTAAATTTTAGCCGTTATAGGTTGCGACGTGAAATTCACGTCGTTAGGATTTTATTTATGACATGTGTGCCCAACTTCCCATACCACACTTATTATTCCAGTTTTAATTTCTTCTTTCTCTTTCTCTTTATTTCTTCTTCTTCCACATTTTTTTTCATCTTCTTTGTTTCTTCTTCTTCTTAATTTGTTTCTTTATTTTCCTTGAGTTGTTTCTTCATTTTTCTTCTCCAGGTAATATATATTTTTTCTTAATATGATTATTGTTGAATTTATTTTTATTAATTTCGTTTAAAATGTAATTTTATATGAATTTAATATTTACTTATTTCTTTGGTCAAATTATCATTGTTATTGAGAAAAGAAAACAAGAAGGAGATTGAAGAAGATAATTTTCTAGAAGATTGAAGGAGTTTGAAGAAGAGGTGTTTTTACTATTTAATTTTTTTTTTAGTTTAATTTATTAATTTTGAATTGTTGTTAGATGTATAATTTTCTGTATTTATTTTCTGAATATTTAAATTTTTTCTGTTTTAATTTTTTCGGAATTTATTTTATGTTTAAATGTTTAGATATGTTCTGTTTTTAATACATTTAAATATTCTGTTTTTAATGTTTAGAAAATATCTAAATAGAATATTCTATTTTTAAAGTTATTTATATTTCTAAACAGAAATATTTATATGTTCAATCTATTTTTTAATGTTTAAAAATAGAATATTATATTTAGAAATAAAATATTAAAAACAGAATATTAAAAACTGAAATTTATTATTTTTAATGTTTTATTTATTTTTTGTTATATTTATATTAAAAACAGAATTATATTATGTTATTATGTGTTATTAAAAATAAATTTTTATATATAGTATAAATTTATATATTAAAAACCAAATATATTATTTTTAATGTTTTATTTTTATTTGGTTATATTTACATTAGAAACAATATTATATTTATATTATTATTATTTGTTATTAAAAAAAATATTTTTTTATTAAAAACAAATTTTTATATATAATATAAATTTATATATTAAAAACTGAATATTAAAAATCAAATATATTATTTTTAATGTTTTATTTTATTTGGTTATATTTATATTAGAAACAATATTATATTTATATTATTATTATTTGTTATTAAAAAAAGATTTTTGTTATTATGTGTTATTAAAAACAAATTTTTATATATAGTATAAATTTATAACCTTTAAAAACTGAACATTAAAAACCAAATGTATTACTTTTAATGTTTTATTTTTATTTGGTTATATTTACATTAGAAACAATATTATATTTATATTATTATTATTATTATTATTATTATTTGTTATTAAAAAAAGACTTTTGTTATTATGTGTTATTAAAAAAAAATTATATATAGTATAAATTTATATATTAAAAACTTAATATTAAAAATCAAATATATTATGTTTAATGTTTTATTTTTATTTGGTTATATTTACATTAGAAACAATATTATATTCATATTATTATTATTTGTTATTAAAAAACGCATTTTGTTATTATGTGTTATTAAAAACAAATTTTTATATATAGAATAAATTTATAACCTTTAAAAACTGAATATTAAAAACTAAATATATTATTTTTAATGTTTTATTTTTATTTGCTTATATTTACATTAGAAACAATATTATATTTATATTATTATTATTATCTGTTATTAAAAAAAGATTTTTGTCATTATGTGTTATTAAAACAAATGGAAAAGAGTTGACATGGAAATTTGGTGTAATCGAAAAGAGTTGGAGTTGAAGCGTCAGCCAAATGGAAAATTGTTAAAACCCAAGGCGAATTATAGTCTAACTTCCCAAGAAGTTAAAGTGGTTTATCGATGGTTAAAAGAATTGAGAATGTCTGATGGTTATGCTTCAAATTTGGCAAGGTGTGCCGACGTTAACACTGGGAAGTTGCATGGTATGAAAAGTCATGATTGTCATGTTTTTATGGAACGATTGCTTCCAATTGCGTTCGGTTCACTACCCAATCACCTGCTTAATCCACTAATTGAAATTAGTCAATTTTTTAGAGATATTTGTGCGTCAGCTTTAAGAGTGGATGACATCGTTAAGTTGGACCTAAATATTCCAGTCATTCTCTGTAAGTTGGAACAAGTATTTTCGCCTGGTTTTTTTTACTCTATGGAACATCTACCTGTGCATCTTGCATATGAAGCTTTTCTTGGTGACCCGGTTCAATATAGGTGGATGTATCCTTTTGAAAGGTTCATGGGTGATTCAAAGAGATCGGTGAAAAATAAAGCTAAAGTTGAAGGATTAATATGTGCACATTACTTGCATCGAGAAACATCTCATTTTTGCGGTCACTATTTCAATCACTTGATGTTAACACCAAGAATCATAAGGAATCCTATAAATGTTAACAAAATAAGTCAATTTACCTTATCAGTCTTCGGGCTTCCTAGTCGTCCTTCTGGAAAGAATGGTGTGCATCGGCTGACTCAAAAAGAAATGCAATCAGCACATGTTCATGTCTTAATTAACTGCATTGAAGTTAAACCATATCTTGAGTAAGTATATCCCAACTGTTTAATATTATTTACCGTATGAATACAAAAATTATTACCTTGAAACTTATAGTGTGTTTCTTTATAAGGAATTTAACATCTCCTACTTTCATAGCACCTGTGTACAAGCAACATTCGGTCACATACATGCTCATTTTCCAGCATGGTTCGAGGAGAAATTGTCATGTATTGTTGCACCGACTCAAGAAATACTCCATTTGAGAGACTTGTTTGAAAGCCCTATCCAAAGCGCAAATGAATGGCATACATACTTCGTGAACGGATATAAATTTCACACTGAGACATGGACTGAAGGGAAAAAATTCATAAATACTGGTGTATTTGTAAAGGAGTTACAGATAGTGGTGAGGATGACTTCTATGGACTTGTTAAACATATCTAAGAGTTGGTATATAATTATTTGGACTCAGAAAATAAAGTTGTCTTGTTTTATTGTGACTGGTACGATCCATCAGCCAGAGGTACAAAAATAGATAAGACATATGATACTGTTGAGATTCGAATGGACCGAAGGTACAAATGACCCTTTCATAATGTCACATATTGTTAGACAAGTTTACTATGTTCCTTATCCTTCAATTGTACCACGTAAACAAGGGTGGTCTATTGTAATCAAAACAAAACCATTGGGTCATATTGAAACAGACGATCTATTGGAAGATGTTGCCTACCAAGTTGATGAACTTAAACAAATTAATGATGTGATTGCAGTTGAACAAATTACAAGTTTGTCTGATACAACTGTTGAGGGGCATCAAGTTGATGCGTCTATATTATTGGATGAAAATGACAATCACGACGAGCATGAAGAGTTCGGATTCGAGGATAATATCACATCAGATTATGATAACGATATGGATGAACATGATTTTGAATAAATTGTTTTTGTAATTTAACTTGATGAAACCTTGTATTGAATGTGTTATCAATATATATACATACATATATATATATATATATATATATATATATATATATGTATGTGTGTGTGTGTGTGTGTGTGTGTGTGTGTGTGTGTGTGTGTGTGTGTGTGTGTGTGTGTGTGTGTGTGTGTGTGTGTGTGTGTGTGTGTGTGTGTGTGTGTGTGTGTGTGTGTGTGTGTGTGTGTGTGTGTGTGTGTGTGTGTGTGTGTGTGTGTGTGTGTGTGTGTGTGTGTGTGTGTGTGTGTGTGTGTGTGTGTGTGTGTGTGTGTGTGTGTGTGTGTGTGTGTGTGTGTGTGTGTGTGTGTGTGTGTGTGTGTGTGTGTGTGTGTGTGTGTGTGTGTGTGTGTGTGTGTGTGTGTGTGTGTGTGTGTGTGTGTGTGTGTGTGTGTGTGTGTGTGTGTGTGTGTGTGTGTGTGTGTGTGTGTGTGTGTGTGTGTGTGTGTGTGTGTGTGTGTGTGTGTGTGTGTGTGTGTGTGTGTGTGTGTGTGTGTGTGTGTGTGTGTGTGTGTGTGTGTGTGTGTGTGTGTGTGTGTGTGTGTGTGTGTGTGTGTGTGTGTGTGTGTGTGTGTGTGTGTGTGTGTGTGTGTGTGTGTGTGTGTGTGTGTGTGTGTGTGTGTGTGTGTGTGTGTGTGTGTGTGTGTGTGTGTGTGTGTGTGTGTGTGTGTGTGTGTGTGTGTGTGTGTGTGTGATTGTATTTTTTAAGATTTATTAAAAGATATTGTTCATGAATATATATTAAATGTGTATTCTATATAAATAGGTAAAATGCCACCTCAAACTGATAAAAATAAGAGTAAGAAGTTCCAACGTCCGAGAGTAGTAGTATGTCAGGCACCTCAGTCGGCCATGTGTCCTCCTCCGCAGAGTCAATTAGATTCTATGTCCATGACTAGTTCTCAGCCTTTCATGACATTGCTCTCCCCTCAGGAGTATCCAGCTTTTATTAGCCCATATGGGGCTCCAGCTTTTATTAGCCCATCGGGGGCTCCAGTGTTTATTAGCTCATCTAGGGGACCAACTTTTATTAGCCCATCTGGGGGCCCTAGTTATCCATATCAGCATCCTAGGGGACCTAGTTATCCATACCAGTAGGTACCCTCATCCTTCACACAATCTGGGGGATCTAGCTTTCCACCTCCCTACCAGCAGGTTCCCACACCCTTCATGTAGTCGGGGGGATCTACTTTTCCAACTCCCCTACAGGTACCCTCATCCTTAACACAGTCTGAGGGATCCCACCCCGCACATACCACACAGGTACATTTACTATCCACACATATACCTATGCGTGAGGATAATGATGAGGCAGTTGATGACGATCATGAGGTGGCTGATGAGGAGGCAGCTGAGGACGATGATGAGGAGGCTCCTAATGATGAGGTGGTTCAAATCATTAATGGAAGATATTTTATTTGGCCCAGCGGAAATTCGTAAGTTTTAAATTTTTAAGTATACATGTTTCCATTTTTTATATTAACTTATATTTCATATTAATATAAATTATTGATGTTTAGTTTCGAGCCGAGTCGGACTGCTGCCCAGTGTATAAGTTATGTTATTCAGCAAAAGTGTAAAAAAGCTTGGAAGAGATTTAGAGAAGTTAAGGGGGACGAAAGAGAAGCTTGGTTTTATTTATTTAAGGTATAATTAATTTATTTTTTAAGTTATGTAATTTATTTTTTAACTTATTTTTGTTATAATTATTTTTTTATTATAATTGTCTAACTATTTTATTTGGATGTTCTACAACATTGTAGGAAAAGTGTACGTGCGAAAAAAATGAATGAGAAAGAGGTTAGAAAAAATTATTTTGGCAGAACAGCAGTTTGACTTTCTGACATGCTACGACGTGCTAGAAAGCGTTGGAAACTTGAAAATATTCGTCCCAACTGGATAGGCGAAGAATTTTTCGATGAACTTCTTATTTATTGGGATTCAGATGCTGAATTTAAGGCAAGATCTGAAAAAGCAAAGAAAATGAGAGCATCTGAAAAAGAGGGTAGCCTTAATGCAATTGGAAGTATAAGTGTTGTCGAACATACTCGACGCATGGTAATTATTACTTCTACTTTAATTTATATTACGATTTATTATATATTTTTAATTAAAGTTAATTTTATTATTTAGGAAAAGAGGTTGGGGAGACATCTACTCATGACTGAGCTAGTTGTAAAGACGAGAACAAAGAAATCAGGGGGCTTTGTTGACGAACGCACCAAAAAATTATTTCACTTTATTTTTTTATTTTTTTATTTAATGAGAATTTTGTGAAGTGATTATCACGTGGCAACTGAGATATTGTGGCGTGAAAATCACGTGGCAAAATTTATTATTTAATTTAACTTAAATTATTTAAGTTGTATTCAATTTATTTATTTATTTTATGTGTAGGAGGATTACCAAGTATTGCTCACACAGTTTTTGATAGAGAATCTTCAATATACTCCAAGAGGTTCCGAGTCGCTTAATCCACGAGTGGATTTTTATATTTGGGGTTTAGTAACTGCCAGAAAGGGACCGAATGGATGTTTATTTGGTGTTGGAGCTTTGGCCGGTGGTATGAGAAAAAGGGACAGAACTCTAATTCAAAGAGTTAGATATGGTGAGGGAACGTAACATCCACCACAATTGACCCCCGAGATGCTAGAAACGATAAGACAATTGACGCTAACTGAAGCGAGACGCGAAACGGCAGCCAAAATGGAGGAGCAACAACATCAGATAGAGGCAATGAATAAAAGGCAAGCTGAAATTGAGGCGGTGATGCGCCAATTTATGCAATTGCAAGGTGGCGATAATCCAATTGTTGGAAATGAAGAAGTGGGTGGTCAACAACAATTGGATGACGAGGGTAACGATGATTTTGACATTAAAAGTTTTCCCGATCCGGATTGATCCGAATCATTTATTGTAATTTTAAATTTTTATTTTTGTAAAATATTGATTATATTTTAGTATATTATACACTTTTTATTTAAAAAATTTATTCTTAATTTTGATATTTATTTATATTTATTAATTTTTGTTATTTATATTTATTAATTTTCCAATTTAAATTATTATTGAAAATAATTTATATTTATTAAATTGAACGGACAAACTATAATTATAATTTTAAATTTAAATAAAAATATAAACCATTTTTAAACGTACCAAAAAATTAATCAATTTAAAAAATTAAAAAAAAAACACTTAGCCACGTGATATTCACGTCGCAAGTTGTGAAGTAAAAATCACGTCGCAACTTGCCACGTGAATATCACATCACAAATTGTCACGTGAATATCACGTCACAATTTTCTTACACACGTCTGCCACTTTGTCTGCTATTAGATGCCCAATTGTGCTTATTTGAGCTATCAAATTTGGGCATCTTTCACTCCGTTTTTGTCTAATTTGTGCTCTAACCGACTTATTTTTGCTAATATGCATCATAGTGTGAAACACTCTTGGTTCTTTTAATTTGCGTGTTATTATGCAGTATTTAAGCATGAAAGAGTAGGATTTGAAGGCACAAGGAAGATGACAAAGGAACCAAGAAAGTTGAAAGCAATAGCAAGTTCGCCAGCATGTTCGCTGAGCGAAGCAGTAGCGAGTGTTCGCTAAGCGAGCTCATAGCGAGCAGCTAGCGAACACTCCCAGACTTGGGCAGAAGCACATTGGGATTGTTCGCTGGTAGCGAGGAGGATAGCGAAGCACTCGCTGGGCGAGCACCTAGCGAGCAAGTAGCGAAGCCAAACAGAATTATACCTTAAGAACTCGCTAGCATGTTCGCTGAGCGAAGTTGCAGCGAAGCCAAACAGAATGATTGCCTCAGACCTCGCTAGCATGTTCGCTGAGCGAGGCTGTAGCGAACATTCGCTGGAAGCTCGCTTAGCGAGCCAGGTCGCGAGCGTGGCAGACCATCAATTTTGTCTATAAATAGCTAGTGTACTTTTTGTTGACTTATCACAACTTTTACTACTTTTGCTAAAAAGTGATTTTGTGACCTAGAAACTCTTTTTGCTCTAATTTCTTCATATCTTAACATCATTCCACCAAAAAGAAGGTGGATTCTCATCAA